AACATTCCATACTGCGATTAGCAGACGTGTCGTCACAGAAAACAGCTGTTTCGTGTAAAAAGATAAACATTGCGATGAAATACGACCACCACTAGACATTTTCACATTTCACTAATACCAATAAGCTGGTTGGGCCAGACCTTGTATAATTGACATCGCATTGGCTCAACATACAAGGTAAGAAAAAAGTACCCAACGGCCAGTTCCAGGGCTGTTACAAGATTTTCTAAATTTGATCCGAGAAATCCGCGAGTTCTCAAAAGAAATCCGCGACTTCAAATACTAATCCGCGACAAAAAAAACTGTTTTCATTGCCTAAAAATAGCATTTTATACTACTACATGGCATTTTAAGCTTATTGCTTATAGCATATTAGATTTTTACCTGCTCTCAACTCAATGTTCTTTGAAGTACTTTCACATTTTAATTCAGAGATTTCTATGCCTGTACCATCCTATGCCCAAGGAAGTAGAGAAATTTTCCAACCCGAAAAATTAATAGACCGAACGGGAATCGAACTCAGTCGTCTCCAGCATGGACTTGCTTTGTAGCTATGCCTTTACCGACTGAATCGTTTGTAACCTTTGAATGTTTTTAATAACATTGTATCATCTTCAGTTATAGTATAAATTCTGAGTAATTAGTGAACACGGAGGCGAACCGGCCTCAGGCTAAAAGCCTCCATAATAAAGAAAACTGCACTGCGATCACATAAGGGTGGTGTATCGATTGCCTTGTTCGAGGAATTGATTTGTGGGATATCTTGTTAATGAAATATCTTTGGTATCATTGTGCTTGCCACACAATATACGAATTCATGCATTGGTATTGGCATCGAAAGCACTCAATTAATAACTGTGGAAGTACATTTAGTAGAACACTAAGTTGAGAGCACGCAATAAGCTAATATGCAATAATCAACAACAAAATTAATGACAGCCAAATTGTCCGGGACGGATACAAGGAATTCCACAATTTTTGTGACAGCACATCAGTCCCTTCGCGATTTTTCGCGACATCATTTAATGTTTTCGCGATTTTCGCGACTGAAAGTTCAAATCCGCGACAAATCCGCGAAAATCGCGAAATCCGCGCCTGTTGTAACAGCCCTGCAGTTCACTTTTACCTACTTTTGACTAGTTTGTCTCCTTTTCTCCTTCTAATGTTGTCAAAAACTGAGGAGCAAAACCACCCAACGGGGGTAGTAAAGTGTGGGAACCCAACGTTGAGTATAATCATATATACCTACTATTGGGTACAACTAACTTATTTTTGGATTGAAAGCTAGTGGAAAATTCCATACGAATTGCACACAAGTAAATGAAAATTACTTTGACCCGCTTTACCTACTTTTGGGTTCCTGCACTATAGTGCCGAGATGAGTGAAAAGAACTTATTTTTGGGTACTTTTTTCTAACCGTGTACGTGGCCGTTCGCTCAGGTGAGTTGTCGCTTTTTTGATATTCACTTGAGATTAAATGTATCAATTTGTTCATCTCCAGGAAAACATTCGTCTTCTTCGGCTTACTCACACTGTCTAGATTACGAGAAACTACTGGACCTTCCTGAATTTGCTGACATCTAGCTTTATCAAGGAAACGTAAAGCCAGTCCATGAGGTGATAGAAGACGGAGAGCCAGACTAAAATTCTACATACCGTAAGGTGATTGACGTAACAATTCACCATTTTCAAAAACATCAACTGTATGCCCTCTTCATTGCAACCAACGCACCAGGTAGGAGTGCGTGCAATCGGGTCGAAAGACTCCACTCTCTCGAGAATTGTCTGGATTAGTTCTACCACACGACCACTATGGATCGCACCTGGACCATAGACTGCGTACCAAAGATCATGAACTTGAGAAGAAGTATTTCGAATATACAGAGGAAACGCTAGCTGATATTTGAAATCAAATGAAGTTCGATGGATTTCCCGTATCCCCGAATATATTGAGCCAGCAGCCTCGGAACTAACTTCTGATTCGATTGATCGTTGGGATGCAGAATGTTTGACTACACATGTTCGCTCTTCGCATAATTTTCTGCAGATTGTGAAATGTTCAAACCACGAATGTTGCACTGAACCTAGAAGCAGCTATTTTGACGTTCTACCAACTCAGTTCTTGCCAGCACCGATTCGGATTAAGCAAACTGAAGATGGCCTCCCTTAGCTCATTCGGTAAAGGCGCAGCTCCAAAGCAAGGCCATGCTGGAGGTGGCTGGGTTCAATTTCCGGTCCGGTCTAGGAATTTTTCGGGTTGGTTTTTTCATAATTTAAAATAACACTGGATTATTAAACTTGATAAAACACTGCAATTTATTGAGCCTCGATAAATTTTGATGGTTCTGTTTAAATACATTTTTTGACATTATAGTCATTAAAATGGTGGATCACAACCCCCTGTTCCTCACTGCTCTTCCGATGCGTGTCGGTGTCAAATATGAACGAATTTGGTTATGATCTGGATTTCCTGAATAATTATAAATTTAGTATGGAAAAATGTCCCGTAAACGAAACGTACCTATAGAGATTGCTGACGTTTATCGTACGCACACTACGTCACGTATACGTATACGCAAAAATGTTTTCATCGGAAAAAAACTTCATAGCGAAAATTTTTCCCGATGAAAACAAATCACTGACACAATCATACTTTAGCAATCTCTATTGATGAATCTACGTTAAGGTCGACCAGCAGATGGAAATGATGATATAAAGGAAAATGACGTTTTGCTACCTGTCAAATCGTATGGAATATTTTTTAGTACATCATCACTTTTGTGGTTTTGGATTTCAAACCTAGGTGTCGCATGCACTGGTGCAGTTTCGCGTAGATTCATCAATTCATTTGCTTGCTAAAAATTAAAAAATGGCTCACATTTCACCGAATCCCGGAAATAGATTGGAAATACGTACTATGTAAAATAACTTTGTCGAAAACTGTTTTTGGCAACACTACATTTTCACGCTTGTTGCCAAAGTCGGACCCCTACTGTACGTATCTTCATCGGGAGCGTTATCAAAATGGTTTGTGTGTATGGATATGATTAAGTTGTTGAAAAAATATTAAAACCGCTTAGCTCCAGTCAGATAAAGCTTGCCCACTATGCGTCAGTGTTGATAAGTTGATTAGGAACCGATGTCTCCCCCTTCACTTATGCCTTAAACCGTCGTTTCGTCCTGGTTTAAGGCTAAAGCGGAGCTGACGAAATCGGCCCTAATGCGAGAAATTATTCAGTAAAGTGTGAGTCGGATGTTGGCAACACGTCTCAAAAGTCGCTTGTCTTCTGCAAATATAACATACTATTTAATATTATATTGTTAGATTTTCCGGATAACTTGGAAGCTTTGGACGTTATCAAATAATCATAGGGTAGAGAACTAATCGCCCATTTTAGGCCTATCGAGCATAAAACATCCAATAAATTCATGATTCCAGAGTTAAAAAGTCAATTAGGCGTTAGGTACCATACTTTAGTTCAAATGCTACCGAACGAAGTTAATAAGAACGCGTAATATGAAGGTTTGCACCCATTATTCCCAAAAACAAAAGAAGCGCTCCGACCGAATCAATTTTTAACTTCGTCCGATAGGCCGAAGTAAATGCATTGGCGTTTCAATGCGTTAGGCCGAGTTCAGAATCCGTAGGCCGAGTTTGACGTCAAGAAGCAGTGTTAGACTTTTAACAATATCTCAACAATTTGTTTTTTCTTTATGAAATCTTACGGTACGTACGGAAAGACAAATAATTTCAGAAGCCATCAGTAATAATAACATTCCGTTTGGTGCTAAACTACGCTAGCTTAAGAAATGGGGTAGTTAACCCTAAATGCAAAAATTATTACAAATTTGTGGAAAGCAACAATTTTGTCCATAAAAACTATTGAATGATTTGTATGACCAACAGCAATCGTCTATGCAGGGAGATGGGGTTTAAATCGCACAAAACCCGTCTACGATGTTTGTGGACAGCCTTTTTTTGCAATCCCTGTTGTTTTTTTATTATAATAATGCTTCAAAAATTGGACTTGTTCTAGACGCTTTAAACATATTTAACATGTAAAACTGCATTTACTTGATTTTGCAGGGTTTCCATCGTACGTTTCGCAAGAGAATTTTTTTTTCTATCGTGCCTTAAATAAGGGATCATCCATAAATGAAATATTAAATGTTTGATCAATTTTAGAGGGGCTCCTCGTAGCGTATTTTTCCGGTCACAACTTCTCAACACCAGCGGCGTCGGTGGTGTAGTGGTAAGCGTGACTGCTTCTCACTTCAAAGGACCTGGGTTAAATCCCAGTCAGTAGCATTGGTACTCAGTACGGAAAACAATTAATCGTGTTTTGTTGTTTTTGACATCATCCACATCCAGAGGGCCAGTCACTTTCGAATGTTAATTCCGGTTTTTACGAAATTCTCATAAAACGTGAGTAAAAATTGCTCTCTCACTGAGTTAGTCCCAGCGGCCGTATGTAACTTGCGCTATATATAAAGGTTTATTTACAAGCATTCCAAATAAACAAGCCATATGAATCCGTTTATCTGCGAAATTGTTATTGTTTACGCTGCTTGAACGTTTTATTCTTATTATCAATTTTCATTTTTTAACTTCCCACTTTAATCTTCTTGTTGGACTATAGAACACTTCGAAGCTTGTACGACTACCATTAAAGAGTTCCCCTTGATATGAAAGCGCAGAGCCAAAATAAAAATCTCAAAAACAACACCGCACAGGCACAAGCTGCCTCAAAATGCGCTAAAAATAACAAGAAAACATCCGATTCGTCTTTCGGCTTGTTGATAAACAATCTCATTAGTGAAAATCGAAAACACCCGCTAAGCTCTTTTCACTTCGCGGATCGATAAAGGTGCTTCTTTCTGACGTCACGTTTGTTCTTTTTTTCTCTCGTTTCGGGACCAATATGAATGTTTCTACCCTTTTTCGGAGGACAATGACGCCAGCTTGCGAAATCCATATCGGAGCATATCTTCCACTTACCAGGTTGAAATTCCAACTTTGTTTCAGCTAGATGCCTGCAAATTCCCGCCGAGATGTTGCAAACGTTAGGAAATGGTATTTTTGTTGGATTTTTCTTCAACTTGGGCACGGCACACAAATCAGTTCCCACTTTTCTGTGTTTTCACTTCTTTGTGCAAAAATAAACTGCTTCTGGGCACTGGCGGCTCTGCGGCTGGCTTCTTTCGTTTGACGTCCTCTTTTTTCGGCTGTGTCCTGATTCGGCTGCGCCCTGATGATGCGTTGTTTTTGTGGATGCGATGAAAAAGGGTTGCCAAACCGGTTTGTTTGTTTTAATGCGGTTTTAAATTCTTCGTTTCTGCAATTTTGCCGAGATTAACACAACCTGCTCGGCATTCGGATTTAGCCGAGGGTAGTATGGTGAATGCGATAAATTAGCAATAATTGAAGAACGTTCTCGAATAACCCAAGACGATGCAAAGAAAATAAAGTTCAAAGTCAAATATAAACAGCTGTTCTGTTTCATCATCCCTTCGCTTAGCCAGGTTCAATAAACACGAGAGCAACGAAAATGACACAATATTCTAGGTCAATGCTATGTAATAAGAGAACGCATAGGTGGTACGCTCCGATGTGCGGTATAAGAGGTGAGGAGAAAGGAAACTAGTAGACTCTTTCATTCTGACGGTGTTCTTATGCAACAGCAGACGTGACGTCACGTCTGTTGCTGCATAAGAAGACGCGAGAACGAAAGAGTCCACTAGTTTCCTTTCTCCTCACCTCTTATACCGCACATCGGGTACGCTCTCGTTTGCTCCGTAGGATGTACCCAACGGGTGCACGCAGCATAAAACAAAGCAATAAACTCAGCATAGGGAACTTTTACGCTTTCACCAGTTTAGCTTAGGTATAGGCGCTGCGTATAGTAGTCAAGTGCATCCTGGACGTATGCATACATACGAAATTATTCTGGAAGGATTGCGTTGGTCCCAAAATGCATCACATGATCTCGAAGGAGAACGATGGATAAGTTTAGATTAGGAATACTTTGTTGTCTCTTTCGTTATTATCAATATTACGTTAGGAGGATCTTAACAGTAGACAAATCCTTCTAGGCTTAAGCCCCTATATAAGGCAAATTTTCAACTTACCAAACGGAATGTTTTCGTTAGTCTTAAATCGTCTGTCGATCTGTTAAGATCCAAATTCCTTCCATCCAATACCTTCATCAGGTTTTAAGCTTAGATAACTGTTGAGACCAGAATCTCTAATTTAGTGAGAAGTTCAGTCCTCGGTCTAAAATCAAAGTCCAAAAACTTGATGCTAAAGGCACTTTTTTCGGTCTATCAAAATTCTGAACCACGCTATTGTAACAGTCTCTTAATTTAGTAGAGTAACTGTCTTAGCGTCTTGAACAGTTTGTTTGATATAATCGAGAGAAAAAGGCACTCGCTCCAGCAGTCCCGGCAGGGCAACGGCGTAGGGTAGAGCACTACTTCGTCGTAATCGCCCATTTCCGTTCTATCGATCAGAAAAGATCAATAATATCAATGATTTCACCATGCACAAATCAATAATAGGTTTGTTCTGATGCGTTAGTTCATTAGCTACAACATAAATCCTGTTAGAGCGCATTGTATGAATATTTACGCTCATTGTTCTCAAAACAAAAGAAGCGCTTCTAGCGAATCCCCTTTTTCTACGTTTATCCGTAGGACGAAGAAAATCTAATGGCGTTTCAATACGTTTGAGCGGAATTGAAACTCGTAGAACGAATTTAGAATCAAGCAGCAGTATTAGATTTTAAACAATATCTCAACAATTTGTGAATCCTTATCAAATCCAACTGTACGTATGGAAAGGTGAATAAATTTAGAAGTCATCTTTGAAATAAATATTCCATTTTTTTGTTTAAACTCGTTCAGAAAAGAGAGGTATAGCGCGGGTTGTGCTTAGTAGGACGGAAATTAGATTTAAAACCCTACCATCCAAACCGTTCGACGTGGTAAGTAAACCTTCGCGTGATTACACAAATTCGGGACAGCTTGTGTTTACGTCCTCTGCCATCCGTGCCGAACAGGTAGCATCGTGATATATCCGATTCGCACTCCTCTACTACCTTGGTCTTCTGAAATTTAATTGGATACTCCTTGGCCAATTTGAGATGTAGAGAATAACATCACAAACGAACTGACAGACGACTAACTGACGAAGAAATCAATTAAAATAATGTGGTTCGCTGTAATAGAAATTTTCTTAGAAGCTTGTGCCATCAGCCACCAGATAGGCTAGTATTTTTGTTTCGATTTGAACAAAGTTGATTTTGTGTGCAATGATCTTTGACAGTGTGCAAAGAGTGTATCATTTTGTATTTTTTTTATGCATTTCTGTTTTGAGTAGAATGAAAGAAATAGAACCAAAACATTCTAGTACATGTGGTGAAAATGCTAGTACAATCCAGTAGTACTGTTGCCATTTGGTACACTGGAAAATTGCAATAGCAACCCGCAAAAGCGCGAACAATAACCAAGGATGGAAAATTTCATTCACTTGCATTCTTCTTGCCGACTGTATGCTTTGCTTTGACATTTCTCTTTCGGTCATTCCTAGTCGCATAAAAACTCTCCCAATGTTACTCTGTAGATTGTTTATACCGATGAATTCATGAATCAGCAAATTGGGTTCTTTAATTTTGAAAAATATATTGTTTTTTATACATCATGCTTAAGAGCCTCGTTTTCTGAGCACAGCGATATTTTTTTCGAACCCACACACTTTCATCTCGATTTTTAAATTAAGATTTAAAGCAAAATAACAACTTCACTGTTTGACACTAAACTAACAAACTGACAGCTCGCTCCCATACAAAGTGACACCGAGGGGTGCTAATAAGGTGATTTTTGCAAATGTAATGGTACTTATTTAAAATAGTTCTAGTGTACCCAAATTGATAAAATTTTGGGTTTGGGTTCCATTTTTAATGCAGATTACGAATATGTATTTACCTCAATACCCTTAAAGAACCCAACTAAGCGACTGAATGACTCTAACAAAATAACACGCTATATCCATAGAGGTAACTCTAAGACCACTGGGTCCCGAAGAAAATCATTATTATTTTTGGCTCACTCAGTACCAGAACAACGGTCCCAAGCAGTCCCAAGCTATTTCACTCACCCCTGCATGTTCTGCATGAATCCACACACCCCTGATGTTATCTGTCAAACTTTCATAGCAAATCAAAACAAACATAGAGTAGTAATAGAATTTCAACTAGAATAGGGTACGTTAATCGTTTGCTTGGGACCAATAGGCTACTAAAGTGGTGAGCCAATTTAAAATCGTTAGTTTCGTATTGATTGTTGCTATATCCATATCCATTAGGAATCATTTGAGTCATAGGATTGCTTTCTAAAAAATCATTCGTGAATCAAATTTTTGAATCCATATAAATGTAAGATTGCATTCATGAATTTGTGTTTAGAATGGAATAGAAGTCAACTCGCAAATGCTATTCTTCTATGCTTGTAGCTGTTTACGCTTATTTAGCATTTTTTTTTCAGTCCGTAACAAAGTTTTCTATAGATGCACTTCTTATCCGATAACTATCCAACAAATGGTTTGGTAACCATAATATAGTCACCTATTGAAAATCACTGCTGAGAAATTTGAGGGTCGGCACCATCCACCACGTAAATCGGGGGATTCCTTTAATGTACTATCGAAATAAAGGGATTTTGAGTAATATTTTTTTCAATGTGTACTGCAGTACGTGCTTTTCTATGGATTCATCACAGGAAGCCATCGAATAGCACTGTTGATAGCACGGTGAATGGATGAGTGATGAGCATATATTAGGTTGACACTCATCACGTAGGAAAAATCAGTTTAATTGGATGGAACACACCCAAGAAATAACCAACAATCAATAGGAAACTAACGATTTTAAATTGGCTCACTACTTGACTAGCCTATTGGTCCCAAGCAAACGATTAACGTACTCTATTCTAGCCGAAATTCTAGTACTACACAATGTTTGTTTTGATTCGCTATGAAAGTTTGACAGATAAAATGAGGGGTTACTGGATTCTCATATGTTTCGAGGGGTAGCTTGGGACCGAAGAGAGTACCAGAGCTGAGCCAAAAAGTTGAGCACGTTTCTTCGGGACCTTCTAGTCTTAGAGTTACCTCTAAGACTGAACTACCCACCGTGCTCTTGCAAGAATTCTCGTTTTGTTTGCCTTTTTAACAGAGTGGTAACGTTGTTTGCGGAAGAAGTTTTAGCTGGTATCCCTTTTTACAAATTCTTTGCTTCCTGATTTTCGATATTAGGAATACTGATCATGAATGGTATATTTATTACCAAAAATCGGCTACCAACGAATGAACAAAGAATTATGCCTAAAACTTCATATGGAAACAATATATGGTTTCATACTTACTTGGATCTGTTCTTATCATTCAAAGAAATTCTCTTGGGTCCCAGGAAATTGAAGCGGGGATCAAGGAAGATACATGCTTTGAACTGCATGCTCTCAGTGAGTTTTTGCAAACGCTTTTAAAATGCTTTCAAAAGTTTTTGGACCAAAGAGTTATTGGACAATCTCGTTAGCTTAGCCTGACATATCAAACAGCATGCGTAAAATTCGTAAAACGATCCAGGTGAATGTTTTGTAAACAATATTTGTGAATCAATGAATGCATTCATAAACGATTCTTCTGTCTGTCATTCATAGAACGATGAATGCACTTTAGGAATGAACCAACTCATGAACAAAAACATCAATGATCGCTGTCATATCAACAATCAATACGAAACTAACGATTTTAAATTGGCTCACCACTTTAGTAGCCTATTGGTCCCAAGCAAACGATTAACGTACCCTATTCTAGTTGAAATTCTATTACTACAGTATGTTTGTTTTGATTCGCTATGAAAGTTTGACAGATAACATCAGGGGTGTGTGGATTCATGCAGAACATGCAGGGGTGAGTGAAATAGCTTGGGACTGCTTGGGACTGTTGTTCTGGTACTGAGTGAGCCAAAAATAATAATGATTTTCTTCGGGACCAAGTGGTCTTAGAGTTACCTCTATGGTCATATGTTTATCTTTCCTTTACTTTCTCTCCTTTATTCACGGGAATGCGTTACTCTCCATAGAGATGGTTACTGAAATTGAAATATTTCTAAGAACATGTTTGTAAATGAGTTGAACGTTGGTCGATGCGATTTTTCCATCACTGCTCTTAGACGTCATTTCTTGTTGAACAGCTTGAACTTTGATTTATCCGACCAGACAACGCGTTTCTAAATCTCCAGCGCTTATTAATGTGATTCCTTGTGAAGATCAGCCGTTTTTTTTTCTTGTTGGCCTTGCTGATAAATGATAGTTTCCGAGCAAAATGGCTCTTCAAACCATGTTCAGCACTGCGTCGTCGAATGGTTCGATCAGAAATCGACGGATTCAGTCTTTCTTTCACTGCGCGGATGCTGATGCTTGGATCTTTTTTAATCTCACTTGTTCGTTTTTGTCCTCTTCCAGATTGATCAGCAACACTTCTAAGCAATTGATACTTCAAATAGATCTTCTGAACTACCACGACTTATCCCATACTTTTCGGCTATTTTTCGTAGCGATTCGTTTATATTGGCGTTGACGGCGACTCTGTAGCTCTTTACTCCTATGAGAAAAGCGTTGACGGCGAACTCTGTACTAACCTTTCACTCCACTGAAAATTCCAATATGAAACTGTCTATATTTGCTGGAAGAGCAAATTTTTCGACGGTGCCGTCAACGCCAATGGCAATCACGCACGATGAGATTTCGGACCTGCAGAGAAATAATCTTTCCGCCCATTTTATTGCTTCAAAAATACTTCACTTAGCACATCAGGTCAACTTCAGAGTTCTACCAACCGGTGGAAACTAACGATTTTAAATTGGCTCACTACTTGACTAGCCTATTGGTCCCAAGCAGTTGAGCTCGTTTCTTCGAGACCTTCTGGTCTTAGAGTTACCTCTATGGTTCTACCATAGAGGTAACTCTAAGACTACCCTAATAAACAAATACCATAAACGAACAATAACCCAAATAGTTGAACTTTTCCACAAATGGTTTGGATGATACCCCAAACACGTCGTTAAGCAAAATAACCATAACAAATTTATTAGGGTAGTAAGTCCCGAACAAACGTGTTCAACTTTTTGGCTCAGCTCTGGTACTATCTTCGGTCCCAAGCTAATCGATTCACCCCTCGAAACATAGAAAAATCCACTAACCCCTCATTTTATCTGTCAAACTTGCATAGCGAATCAAAACAAACATTGTGTAGTACTAGAATTTCGACTAGAATGGGGTACGTTAGTCGATTTGCTTGGGACCAATAGGCTAGTCAAGTAGTGAGCCAATTTAAAATCGATAGTTTCTTATTGATTGTTGGTTCTACAGTAGACTTTTGGGATGTATATGAACAATGAAATATCAAAACCATGAAATACGAGGGGTGTGCCAATGTAATTCAGACGGCTTAATATTTCTTCCGCTGATGGTTCTTTTTTTATGTTGTACCGGGATCAGAACGTTCCAACCCGAAAAATTCCTAGACCGGAATCAAACCTCCAGCATGGTATTGCTTTGTAGCTGCACCTTCACCGACAGAGGCCCCAAATGGAGGGGCTTATCAACCGGTGAACACTCGTGTTTATTTCAGTTACCATGGAGACGTAATTTGTGATTAGTCCCGGTCCCTTTCAAATTGTATCATTATTTATGAACGGCCTTATATTTGAAATGACGTTTCACATTCATCTAGTGATGTCCGATTTTCATTCGAATAATCGTTTAATCGATTAACGAACCGAAAAGTAAACTATTTATAATCGGTTAGATCATGCCGATATAAGCATTAACATCTCCACAGGATCATCACCGATCGTTTCAAACATGTGCTGCACTCTCATTGGTGGAAAAATGGCAGCACAGCGAACAAAAAATAATCGATTAGTTGTTAATCGAGTAATTAAAAAATGGGACATCTCTGATTTTGGTGTGATTGTTTTGATAAAAATGAGCGCAAAATTTCATCTCTTCCGAGGGGGCAGCAAAACCACAAAATTACCTTGAATACGGGGGGTTCTCATTGGATGAAAGGGACCGTGAAAGAAGACACTAAAATAGAAAGTTTTTCTTCCGACAGTTTCATCTTAGTATTCATCTTTGGGCTTATTACCGATGTCACTACACGGTGAAAACTTGTCACTTGTCGTCACGGTGAAGTGATTTCCATTTGATTTGTACGGCAATCACGGCTCTTATTCTGAGTATCACTTCCTTATCACCGTGTAGTGACACCCATAATAAGGCCCGGAAACTACATAAAAACTTTTTCATGATATATTTATTCATACCATACCGAATGTGGAAAGCTGAGGTGAGCAGATGAACAGGATGGGCTAAAGGATACCGATGTTGAAGGCATCGTATAACAAAATTACTTACTCGAGTCAGTTGGTGGACGGTCCATCGAACTTTCCGACGTTCAAACTGCTCATCGAGTAAGATGTTGATTTCTCCGGCAGATGTTAGTTGTTGCTTGGATAACTCTGCGAGAAAGCTGATAGGTCGGTATTTAGAAGGAGACGAAGTTGTCGGACAATTGAACCGTGCTCAATTACTTACTCGAATGTGTTTTTCTCGTGCCATGTCATCTTAAATAATTTTATTGGAAACTATTTAATGTGTTAAAATATTTTAATGCATTGAGACACGTTTCATTACAGTTGGAAGTTGAGAGCGACATATTTCAACTTCCTTGTATTGGCAGTGTTAAATTACATTACGACTGCTGTACGACTACTCGAGAACTCTAGTTCGAATGTGAATGTGCCATGTCATCTTAATTAATGTTGTTAAAACTATTTAATGTGTTAAAATATTTTAATGCATAGAAACAAGTTTCATTACAGTTTTAAGCTGAGAGCGAGATATTTCAACTTCCATGTTTTAAATTACTTTACGACTGCTGTACGATTACCCGAGAACTCGAGTACGAATGTGAATGTGTTTTATCTCGTGCCGTGTCATCTTAATTAATGTTATTGAAAACTATTTAATGTGTTAAAATATTTTAATGCATAGAAACACGTTTCATTACAGTTGAAAGTTGAGAGCGAGATATTTCAACGTTCATGCTTTCTCGAAAACGTTGTACTAATGGTTCCGAATGGTTTACTTCACGTGATCACATTTTAAAACTCATAAGAATCATTGTTATACATTCCTTTACTTATTAGTACCTCAAAGGGTACAGAGTCGTTAATGCGTTAAAAAAAAAAATAAAATAAAATATGAAGCGATCGTAAATATTGAACACATTTCTCAAAAAGGCAACAAACAACGATAAGCCCACGTGATTACTAATCCTAATCGTGCTGTTCATTTTCCTCTTCGAACTCTTGCTCGCCGTCCTCGTATTCATCAACTGAAGCTTCCTGGTACTGTTGGTACTCGGAGATCAGATCGTTCAAATTGGACTCCGCCTCGGTGAACTCCATCTCGTCCATACCTTCGCCGGTGTACCAATGCAGGAAAGCCTTCCGTCTGAACATGGCAGTGAACTGTTCGGAGATACGCTTGAAGATCTCCTGAATGGCCGTCGAGTTTCCGATGAACGTCGCCGACATCTTCAGACCACGTGGAGGAATGTCACATACAGCCACCTTCACATTGTTCGGAATCCATTCCACGAAGTAGCTGCTATTCTTGCTCTGGACGTTCATCATTTGCTGATCAACTTCCTTCATCGAGACGAGACCTGCAATGAAACACAATGGGTATGGGGTGAGCATATTGCTGTACCGCGATTTATCCGTTCCAGTCTCCCTGTAGCCGTCTTTGGATGTCCAGTGCAATAAAAAATGGGTAGCTCTAAGTATAAGTGCAGGAAATAGTGTACATACGATCGTTTCTTGCACTTATACATGGGGATACCTATCCTATATTGTGTTGCACTAACACTTGACGTTGGAAAGGCCACTAGTTGGTTTAACTAACAATGTTTGTATTACTTCATGCGTGAAGTTAACGATTTACATAGTCGGAGATGCTTGACGTCAAATGTCAGACTTAGAGTGGTCATTTTTAAAGAGCCTGAATTTATAAAGAGACGACATGTCAAAATTGGAACAATCGATCAACAAAGTCATAGGAAAAGTCATTCCAATCGAGCAGAAGACCTGTCAAATGGATAAGATGTCGCCTCTTTAGTCATTTTATACGGAGAACGGAGATGAAAGTGTAGAGTTGATAACTCCGTTAGAGTACGGCAGTGAAAATTGTACAGTAGGAATTGTCCATTATTTATGTCACACTTTTAGGGGGAGGGGGACTTTGGAAACAGTAACGAACAATACAAAAAAAATTAAGGCCTGTACAAAAAATGTGACAAAGGGGAAAGGGGGGTTTGAAAATGGGCCAAATTTGCGTGCCATAAATTATGGACATTCCCGTCGCAGTACCTTCCCTACCCGTTTCTCCTGCTTTATTCGTCTCAAGACGACACCATTGCGAGAAAAAAAAACTAGCAAGCCTGCCTTAATCTTTTAAAAACGAAGCCATTACAGAAAACGCAAAATCTGCCAAAAACGCTTCAAAACGATGCCACTGCAAAAAAAAAAAATGCTAAATCTGCCTCAATCGTTTCAAAACGACGCCATTACAGAAAACACCTAATCTGCTCAAATTGTTTCAAAGCGACGCTTTTGCAAAAAAAAAAACAGTAATCAATCGGCCTCAATTGCTTGAAAATGACGCCACTGAGAACCTTCAAAATCCGCCGTGATCGTTTCAAATCGATCCCTATTACAAAAAAAAAAAAAAAATAACGCATACATTTTACCAGCACCATCTAGTGCATATCAGTCTGGATGCACCACCAGCACCGGTTTGACACTCGACGTCAAGGACAGCAGCGCTTCGAAAAAAAAAACGGAAGGCAATCTCCCCCATCAAGGGTGTCCTAAAGGTCCGTTCGCTATCCGACGACGTAATGCTGGAGAACGACCAACTGGCCAACGTAATGTTCTCCACACCGGTGTCCTCACAGAATATTCACTGTGAAGCTGGTCAGCCGGCGAAGTTGAAAAGCACCCGCTTTGCACTGCCTTCGTCCGTCGAGTAGCTGAGGAAAGCCGAAGCTTCTAGTTGTATTCAACCTGCCATTGTATGATGGGCCAAAACGGTTTGGTTGAATCCGTGAGTAAAATCGCCCACGTGCATCCACGGAATAAATGAGAATCTCTTTCCAACAACAGGATCATACAATCGGTCAGGTAAAAAAAACAGGCCTTCCAACAGGAGGATGTCCCAATAAGTGGGGAGAAGAGCCCACCCTCTTTTCACGAAAGTTGGCATTTCCACCCTTCCCATCCATTTAGCTTCAATCGGGTACCCTAGTGGACCGCCTGTCCACAACATTTAATGTTTCATATAATAATGGAATGAAAGTTAAGAAGTTAAAGAAATAAAGAAAAGATTTCACCCGATATGTTGTAAGGAAATTCATGACATCACGTTGATCACGCTGGTTTCGAAGAGCTCCCATAGATATGCTGCCGCTACATCGTCAACCGGTGTTAGAAACAGAACTCTCGCCTTTCGTTCCTCACGGTAGCGAAAATCCCCATCAACCACGAAACACACTCTAGCTGCTACAACTGGAGAGGTCTCAGCAGAGAAAACAAGGCCTGCGTCCACTTTCCATCACGAATCACTCGTGACACTACGGCTTCAGTTCGCCAGTACACAGTCTACCAACATTTTGTTATACGGCAACCATCCCACATGGAGTCCCAGGAGTCCCAGGATGCAATCGGGTCAATTTTTATCTATGAGATTAATTGAACCATTTCGATTTTACCCCCACGAACAAGGGATTCCTAAGCTGCCTATTATCGCTCCCGCTGATCTTCATGATGATGATGACATGTGTGGCATATATTAGCGCTAGTGTAAGCAGGACTTAACTTTACGCTTAACGAGTCAGCAAGCCGTGTGGGCAGCCCCCCTTTGAAAGCGCAACACTTCAATGCCGGTAAACGGAGGTCTCTATGGCAACGCTTCATAAACACACACGGGCAACTCTCCACCCACTTTCGGACCAGCTCTACACAAGGTAAGTCACACAAGGAGCAACACAATAGTTGGGTATAGAAGAATTGCATTATTACACACCATCGTCTGGAAATGCTTTCGGCAACGTGAGGCTTAGCTTTAGGTAGAACTATCCCACAGCCACAAACAGTGTATGACCAAGTCAAACGCGCACTCTTTATGTCTGTGGATTGGAGGAAAAACCTCAAGTCCCCTCATCCATTAATGTATGAGCTAGGTAAAGGAGTGTGCGTATGAATAGTACTGTCGCATTGATGGCCCTTCGCTCAATAATTTCAACTTCTATTCAATTTTCACACTGCCGTACTCTAGCGGAACTATCAACCTACTCTCTTCAGAACATTCTCTAGCTAATAAATTATCGTACTAAAGCTTCATGTTGATATTACTTGAGCATTTCCAACCAACCCTGAAGATTGTTTTTGTTATATGGAATGCATTAGCGGATCGCCACTCCGGGTACTGTAAGCTACCGAAAGTTGAATATACATGTTTGGAACCTAATATTAACGAGATAGGATCAGCATTTTGAATTTTGTAAAATATTTTTTCAATTGACGATATTGAATTTTGAAATATAATTTATAAATCAATAATTTTGTAAGTTGAGTCGAGCGTCACTTCTGATCACTGGTCTATTTTGGTATTACAGAAGTAATACCAAATTGGACCAATGACCAGATGTGACGCTCGACTCGACTTACACAATTGGGCCCTATTTGTTTTTCAATCACGGCAGACTACAGCGAGCTGGACATGTAATATGACTTGACATTATATTCAGCGGATTAATCCTGCCACATCGCGGCCGAATGGCCTGAAGACCCAATTTATCAGAATAACTAACCTCGGAAGATGGCCGCGCAGGTCAGATACCGTCCGTGTCTGGGATCGCATGCCGTCATCATGTTCTTCGCATCGAACATCTGCGCGGTCAGTTCGGAAACGCTTTCAATACGGTATTGTTGTGAGCCCTTGGCCGTTAGCGGTGCAAAACCGGGCATGAAGAAATGCAAACGCGGGAATGGAACCATGTTGACGGCCAGCTTACGTAAATCGGCATTAAGCTGACCTGGGAATCGGAAACACGTTGTCACGCCGGACATTGTAAGCTAGAATATGGAAAAATGTTTCAATCAAATTTAGCTCTCGACTAGATGGTTCAGATTCAGAGCAGGTGAGTCGCAGAGACTGTTAATACTTACGGATACTAGATGGTTCAGATCGCCGTAGGTCGGCGAGCTGAGCTTCAACGTTCGGAAGCAGATATCATAGAGTGCTTCGTTGTCGATGCAGAACGTTCCGTCGGTATTTTCCACCAGCTGATGAATAGATAGAACGGCATTGTACGGCTCTACGACAGTATCCGAGACCTAAACGTTTTGTTTGGAAGATGATACACAAGTAGAAGGTAAATAACTTGACAAACTGAATAAAACCTAAATGTTACCTTTGGCGAGGGATAGACTGAGAATGTGTTGATAATCCTGTCAGGATACTCTTCGCGAATTTTGGAGACGAGCAGAGTGCCCATGCCGGAACCACTTCCGCCACCGAGGGAATGTGCCAACTGAAAGCCTTGTAGACAGTCACATGTTTCGGCCTCCTTACGTACTACGTCAAGAACACTTTCAACCAGTTCGGCACCTTCTGTGTAGTGACCCTTGGCCCAATTATTACCTGAAATGACCGTAACGTGTAAAGCCATGCCCACATCAACAAATATCACACGACTTACCGGCTCCGGATTGCGCAAAGACAAAATTATCCGGTCTGAACAGGTCACCGTAGGGAGACTGACGGACCGAGTCCATGGTGCCTGGTTCCAGATCGACGAGAACAGCCCTTGGTACATATCGGTTTCCGTTGGCCTCCGAGTAGTACACGTCAATGCGTTCCAACTGGAGATCATTGTTGCCGATGTAGTGACCGGACGGATTGATACCATGCTCGTCTGAGATGGTTTCCCAGAACTACGAGAGTCAACAGGAGAAAAGCGAAACATATGTATCACGTTTGTAAGCAACCTTTGGCTAACCAAACTATTGGCCTGAAAGCATCACATTCAGAATGAAGGAAATATTAAATCATGCTTCCACTACACTGAAAAAAGTTTTCACATAATTTCTATAAATAACGCACATCATATTTTTCCAATAACAAAATTAATTATTTTTATCCGAATACGTTGACGACACTTCGTGCAAATTAACGGGGTTCATTTTGATTTTGAACTTCGAGTAACCTTATGACCAGCAGAAGCACGCTGCTGTTTTGTTTTGATTCTGCGTTCCGTTTCAACCTTATTAAGTTTGAACCATAAGCGTCATATTTTAGATTTGTAATGTTTTGAGTACCTTTGTATCGGTCAAAGGTGCTGGGGTAAAAAATCTCCAAAACATTTTGAACAGAACGTTACATTTATTATCTAAATCAGTGATGCCAAGTGATCCAGCTGGATGGATTTCCTGGAAGAGATGAACGCACCGCAATCCTCGGCCGATCTCTGGAAGCGAATCAACGCCCTTAGTGGGAAACGACGCACGACACCACTTCACGTCTAGGTAAATGGTTCCACGGTTTCCGATCCGGAAACGGTAGCTGATGAACTCTTGGCAGGAACTGCAGCATGGCCTTCGCTGCAGCAACGAGAAGTCGGCGGGACCCAACGATATCGAATATCCTCTACTCAAAAGGCTACCGGTACCAGGACAGCTACGGATGCTAGACCTCTTCAACAAGCTCTGGCTCACTAACGGGTACCCAGCAGTATGGAAGGAAAACTTGGTAGTTCCCATCCCGAAAGCCAGGGTAGCCACCCGTGAAGTCAGCAAGTTCCGTCCAATAGCGCTAACATGTTGTATGGCCAAAGCCCTAGAGCGCATGGTCAATCGAAGACTGAAGCAACACCTCGAAGCTGGAAATTTCCTTGATCATCGACAGCACGCTTTCAGACAAGGTTTCGGAACGTCCACCTATTTCGCAACCCTATGGGGAAGTTCTCAAGAACGCCTACGACAGTGGTCTGCACACCGAGATAGTATCGCTCGACATATCGAAGGCCTTCAACAGAACGGGGACGCCCCTCGTTCTCAAGCAACTAATCGACTGGGGTCTTAACGGACCTATCGTTCACTTCATCCAGAACTTCTTGTACAACCGCTCATTCCGAGCCGCAGTCGGCAACACCAAATCCCGGCTTTTTCCCCGAGGAAACGGGTGTCCCACAAGGATCGGTTATCGCCGTTACCCTGTTCCTCGTGGAGATGAACGGAGTCTTTCGTCAATTACCGAAAAACATACGCCGACGACATCTTCATCGTCACCACCGGACCCATGCCAGTACGTACAAGGATGAGAGCCCAAGCGGCAGTCTCCACCGTCGCCAGGTGGGCCCCCTCAGTAGGCTTTGAATTATCAGCCTCTAAAAGCATCAGGCCCTTCTCGACACAGAATTAGCGGACCACCGATCAAAATCTACGACCAGTTCATACCGCTGAAGAAGACCGTCCTAGTTCTGGGAACAGCATTTCAGTGCAGTCAAGAAACATTATCGCATCCGAGTGAATCTCATCCGGACCATTTCCCGACAGAATAGATCGAACGCAATTATCGACAGCAACGGATAAGCTTTTAGCTACGTTAGCACCAGTCTACAACACCTACGTCCGGACTGTCCCTGGCCTGCTGCCATCCACGCCCGCTGACGCTGCATGCATCGACGCAGGCATCCTGCCTTTCCGCTTCCGTATAACCGCAACCACAGCCGCTGCTTACATCTCGAAGACATCCGGAAATCAAGGGATCTTCCTCCTCGACGAGGGGAACAGACTCCCCCCAGTGGGCAGGTTCCACTGGCATGGAGACAAATGCTGGCAAACACCGAATATCGAAAGCCGGATTAAGGACAGGTTCAAAGCCGGAGACAATTCCGTGCCCATGAAAAGGACTGCAGTTGAAATGTTAGGAGAAAAATACCCTACGCACACTCACCGATACACGGACGGATCTCGCTCTCGGGTCGGGGTTGGTATCGGTCTAGCCGGAAACATCACACCAACCAGCTGCAGCTTACCGCCGCAATGTTCTGTCTTCTCTGTTGAAGCTGCTGCCATCTTCATCGCTGCTACAACGCTCTTCGACCGATCGATCCTAGTCCTCACGGATTCGCACAGCGTCATACAAGCCCTGACATCCGAGACCCCGACTCATCCCTGGGTACAGGCGACGATGAAGTCCGCGCCACAAAACACGGTATTCTGCTGGGTTCCGGGGCACTGCCGAATACCAGGCAACTCTGAAGCTGACTTTCTGGCTGGGGCAGGACCATCTGCCCCTCGCTATACCAACGAAGTACCGTTACACGATGTCAAGCGCTGGATCGTGAGCAAAGTACGGGAAGCTTGGAACGCAGAGTGGGCCCAAAACCGCTCTCTCTTCATCAGACGGATCAAAGGTACGACCAGGAAATTGTCAGAACAGTTGAACCAGCGGGGTCAGAAGATAGCGTCGGGTTTGAGGACCGTAGAATGCTAAATAACCTCCATATAGCTTGCAATGTTACGCCGTAGAAAGCCCCTAATCCGTCCGTCTCAGTCCTGCCATCAGCAGCCTTCGTTCATCATAGTCGTTCCGGACCTGCTGTCGGATGTGGAGAAGGGGTCTTCCAACCCACTCACTATGGCGACTATCCAATGAGACTTGATGATGGTTAGTTATTCCTGATGCATCTGTGATTTCTAGGGAGAGTAGTCGTTCGATTCCTTGCCGCAAGCAGGACGTCGTGATCTTCTACCAAAACGCCGGTCGAATGAATTCTGATGTTGAAGAGTACCGCCTAGCTGTATCGGATTGTCCTGTGCGAAACGTGGCTCGATTATCGAACGCTTTCCAGTCAAGTCTTCGGTCCTGACTACGAGGTCTTTCGTTGCGATCGGAATCCTAACAACAGCCGTAAATCTACTGGTGGAGGTGTCCTTGTAGCTGACCGTGGCAGGTTGGAGGCAAAGGCTATCGAGAACGATTCATGGAACTATGTGGAGCAGGTTTGGACAGCCATCAATCTGGGTGATCGCACACTATTTCTATGCGCTCTGTACATTCCACCTGATCGAGTCCGGGACAATGAACTCATCGATACTCACTGCCGGTCAGTTTTCACAGTTATCGAAAGTGCCACTCTAGTTGATGAGATATTCATTTTTGGTGACTTCAATCTGCTAGGCGTTTCGTGGAGTTTTTCTCATAGCGGATTCCTGTACCCAGATCCTGATAGCTCTACATTTCACGGAGGAGCTATTAGCCTTCTCGACAACTACAGCGCAGCGACGCTTTCTCAAATTAACCATGTAGTTAACGAAAATGATCGTAGTTTGGACCTCTGCTTCGGGAGCACACAGGACAGGGCTCCATTAATTTCCTCGGCTCCTTGTGCACTAACTAAGCTAGTTCCACATCACCCTCCTCTAAGTGTCACTGTTGAGGACAAACTCGTGCGTGATTTCGACGATTATCCTGCTTCGGTTTCTTATGACTTCTGTAAAGCTGACCACCGTTGCATCATAGATGTATTGTCTAGCATGGTATGGGAGAACATCCTTGATCCAGATGACGTTGAGGCTGCAGCGCAAACCTTTTCACATGTCTTGGCATATGTCATTGACAGACACGTTCCGAAAAGAACTCACCACAAAGTGTCTCACCCTCCATGGCATACGAGAGAGCTATGTAGGTTGTAGTCAATCAAGAGAGCAACATTGAGAAGATGAGGCTGAATCACATGTACCAGCGTGAATGCTTTTCCAATGTTTCCAACGAGGCATCCAGCGCAAACTTATAAGCTACACCCGAAATTCTTTTGGAACTACGTGAACGAGCAACGCAGGGAATCCGGCCTCCCATCGTCTATGGAATTAAACGGAAAGTTTGTCAGTGTATTCATTAATGAGATACTAACTGACGACCGTATTAACCTGGCTGTCAGGAACGTTCCAGTAAATGATCAAACGCTGGGTGTAATTGATGTTAATGCTGAGATGATTTCTAAGGACGCGACTCTGCTAAAGTCATCCTTCAATCATGGACCTGATGGAGTTCCATCTGCATTTTTGAAGAGACATATTGCTAGCTTGTTAATTCCGCTTCTCCACCTGTTCCGAATGTCTCTCGCCAGTGGCATAATTCCATCCTGCTGGAAATTTGCCCACATGTTTCCAAAAAAGGAAGGAAACAAGCTGTGGATAACTATCGAGGAATTACATCGTTAAGTGCCATTTCGAAGCTATTCGAGCTAGTGATTATGGAACCGTTGCTGTTCCATTGCAAGCAGTATTTGAGTGCTGATCAACATGGGTTAACTGTCGGCCGCTCTACAACCACCAATCTGCTGTGTCGCACATCGTACATAACCGAAAGCATTTCGGACCGGGTTCAAACGGACGTTATTTATTCAGACCAATCCGCAGGATTCGACAAGTTGAACCATGCTATTGCAATTGCTAAACTCGGCAGGCTTGGTGTATGCGGTAATCTTCTGAGTTGGTTTCGATCATATCTTACCGGTCGGCAACTAAAGGTTGCCATAGGAGATTGCAGATCAGCTAGCTTATTCGTCACATCAGGTATACCTCAGGGAAGCCACATGGGACCGTTGATTTTTATACTGTACTTCAACGACGTGCATCTGGTCATCGAAGCTTCTCGGTTATCATATGCAGATGACCTCAAAATCTTCCTACGAATCTGCTCCATTGCTGACTGTCACTTTCTTCAACGTCAGCTGAATGTATTCGCTAGTTGGTGCAGGTTAAACAGAATGGTAGTGAACCCAGCCAAATGCTCCGCCAAATTAATTTAGTTGGATCAGACATTACGCCGTTTTCAAGATTCCGTACACAGGAATTGAACATCCAGGATTTAGACTCTGAGGCTTCTATAGAGCGAGAAGAAATTCCGTGATCCTTGGTCTAAAGAAACTGTTCATGATTATGGGACTAGACATTTCTGAAAAGTATAACATCGAGAAAGAACGAAAGTCTGAAAAGCGTCTCAAACTTTGCGCCGTTGTTAAATTCAATATCCCAGATATGGAGACATTTTCAAGATTCTGGGAGATAAAATATTTTCAAGGTTCGAAAATTAACAAACATATTCAAAATGCTGAACGTAGGGCATTGAAAAACTATTGAGATGGCAAAGTTAACCAAAAATCCTTAGAAATTCTTTAGGATTATCATTAGAATCACTTAAGAAAACTACCACGATTTAGGACTTGACATATTTTACATATTACTAAGGAAAAGATAAGAATTCCGAACTTGAAGAAATATTTCAAGATTATAAGAGACATATTTGGGAAAACGGCCTTGTATTCGATTAATATAGATACAACATATTTTACTAATTCCCGGTGTATGAAGCATTGAGCGACCACAAGTTCGCAACTCTATTTAAAATTTGAAATGAACAACCATCCTCAAACTACACCGAGTAAATAGGTTGTTTGAAACTTGCAAAGTCAGTTATACTTATTAATAAGTTCCTGTAATTAAAAAGCATTTCCTTGAATTTGTATATCCCAATATATGAATTATATAAAGTTCGGAAGCTCTACATTAACTTTCTATTTAATAAAAGACACATGAGTTATAGAACATTTTTGCTAATTTAAAAAGCTAAATATGTATGTTTGGCTGAATAAGCTACTATGAAGCTAACTTCACCAAATATTGCTGCTAGATTTTCAACAGTCCAAACGGTGCTGTTGCCAGCCCAAGCTATTTTATGAATACAATATTATGACCGTTAGATAATGGCACAGTTTTTAGTGACAAAGAAACATTGTTTTACAGGGGAAGTTTACCGCTATTATCAGAAAAGAATAAAAAGAATAAAGACTCTTACATATCAACTTTACTTCACAATCCATAGCCTACTAAGAGCTTAAAAATGCAAGCTCAAACAGTATTTCTAAAGCTGTTTTAGATAAACAAAAATGTTTGAATATAGCTAAACAACCTTTGAAAAATCATAAATGTTAAGGTTTTTTTTATTGATTTAATTTGATACTTGTTGATTATAAGAGTCTATCAGAATTAACGTAAACCTTATGATTTCTCTAATTGAATTAATGAACATCAAGCATTGGATATAACAATGACCGAATTTACCGGTTTTCAGAAAGTTAAAAACAGAAAACAGAATGGAACGATATTACCGGTAAAACCGGTTGAACAACTGTAGGCGGAATGCGTCAGCAAAAGATGTTGTTGTGGCACCATTTATACGGCCAAGGAGATCGACCCAAATTTGAGTTCAGTTTACTCATAAAGTGCAGGAATTCAGCGCTGAGTAAATTTTCCTGAGTTTTCCAGCAAAATAATCCCGAATATGTGAAAAGTCAAGATTAAATTCACTCAGTCCATTGGTAGTACTTTTAGACTGAGTAAAATTTTCGTCAATTTTCCTCATTTGCAGGCAGATTTTGGAAGTTTTCCACAGGAAAACATGAGGCATATTTACTTTTCGTTGAGGTCCTGCGCTTTTTGCGATTTATGAGTAAACTAAATTTCATTGGCCATGGAGTGTTCATGATAACCTACAGCTTGCGTCACTTTTTCTCGAGTGATTGAACTCTAATCCATAGGTGCACTTGTCTATTGTGCTGTTCAATTCATACATCAGGTTACCACTCAATTTTGAGCCGATCTGACCGGCCGTGTATTCAATGGTACATTTTACTTCAAAGTGTTCCACGGTTTTTATACTCGATGTCGATGTTGTGTAACTCTTTCTCTCTGAGTTAGTCTCATTGGCCGTGTATACAACAATAGTTACTGAATGCGACAGCCTGTGCAATAGAGGTAATAAATAATTACCTGTGCGCATTAAAACAAATCGAACGAACGGCGAAGCAGATAGATGGTATGAAAACGACATGTACACATCATTAAATTTCATATAAAATGGAGCATTTAGAAAACTCTGTCTTATATGTTGGTCATATAAAAATCATTAGCACATGACTTTCAATGCCTTCATTGAAGCAAACGGCAAATCAGAATAACTCAGAGAGCGAGAGAGTCACTTCTACTCAGTTGTATGGATAAATTTCTAAAAACTGAGATTCAGCACAGCCAATGAAATCGACCCAAATTCGAATTCAGTTTACTCATAAATCACAAAAAGCGCAGGAACTCAACGTTGAGTAAGTTTCCCTCATGTTTTCCTGTGAAAAATCTCCACATTCTGCCGGAAAATGAGGAAAATTTTACTCAGTCTAGTAGTATTACCAATAAACTGAGTTAATCTAATCTTGACTTTTCACATATTCGGGATTTTATTTCCTGGAAAAACTCAGGAAAATTTACTCAGCGCCACGGTTTGTAATTTATGAGTAAACTGAATTGAAATTTGGATCGATCCCATTGGCCGTGAGTGCTGAGTAACCTCAGTATTTTAGAAATTTCTCCATACTGCCGAGCACTTCTGCTTCTCTTTCTCTGAGTTATTCTCATTGGCCGTGCACCGAAAAAAAATGTTAGGAAACTGCAATGAGCGTGTAAATTATGACTAATATGAATAACATCGCATCAGCACTGAACGCGGAACACGGGAGAGCCTCTCATTTTTATCAACTTTGTATCACCAACACTGCAGCAAGAACATCGCCCACAAACGGCCTTCGGTATATTTACGCACCGAAAGATGAGGTGATGTCATTATTTGCCCCGCCGCATCCTCTCTTTGCCCACAAAATTTGACTGTTCTGCGCCGTTTGTTGTGATTCTTCTTCGTTGCCATCTCCGTTACTCTCATGGGGTAAAAGAGAGATGCAGCGAATGAAAAAGTGAGGTTAGAAAATGCGTGCATGGGGTGTTGACCGTCGGAACCCATCAATAATTAATTTCATTTTGACAGGAAGCTGTGACTTTGATTCAACTTTATTGATTTTCAGGGCCTATTAGAAGCATTTATTCCGAATATTGATCACTCTACATCGTTAATTTGATAGAAACATGCATCAGGTGTGTCTCCGAGCACTGATTTTGGTTAACATGGTGTACCATACTTAACATACAGTAGTGTCTATGTATCGAAATTTACACACTACTGCTTGAAAAAGCTTCATTCAACGACAAAATGCTAATTTAAAACCGGCAAACCCCATTTAACGAGTAGGTAAAAAATTTATATATCAAATATAATGAAGACAGGGCGGTACGGACTACAATTGGAAAAAGTGCCACGGAACAGGTCATCCGACCGATGACTCCATGGCTTCCATGCTTTCGCCCACATGAAAATTTCACCATACATACCTTGGATCCAATCTGATTTCCGCACTGGCCGACTTGCAGATGTACAATTTCTCTCATATTGATGGCTGATGACCAAGATTACCGTTACAGATAAAATATGTATTAAAACAAGCTCTTCAATGAACACTCCCGTAAGCAGTTTTCAACTAGCACTTGCTTTTCTCGCGACGACCGATCGATTCTGACTATTCACCGTTTTTCTTCACTCTCATAGGTATTACGTCGCCGACTTTCACTGCGTTTAGTGCAGCAATCTCGGTGCTTTTCTCGTATGGGGTTGTCCAGCTGCATATGTATTGTAGAAAAATTGCTGTAGGAACTGTCAAAATCCTATGAATTTACACGCTGCATTAGTGTTCGTGATATATTGCTTGGAGAGCTCAATGCACGCTAACCTCAGACTACCCAGCAAATCATTGAACTGGGCAGAAATCTCTACCCCAGTTCGGTCAAATTGTAGACTCTCATGTAATAGGCCTGCAGATGGGGGAAATCTCATTAGGCCGAATAGGGTAATTTTCCTATCACCATGCATTTCTCAAGGAGCTAGTAAATTTAACTCTTTTATTCATATGACTTTACTGTGCTCATTTTCTAAGATATATACACTCAATCTAGCTCTGTAAAATCTCCAGCAGCCGATTACCTCGGCATTTACTTTTGCTGATATTACAGCAAAATATGTTTTTTAGCTGAGATCTAATTTGTTAGCTGAGTCTCGGCAATTGTCTTACTGTATCTCAGCAAAATAAATTGCAGAACTTCTCGGCTGTTGGAATCCCGGAAAAAAAACTCATAGATACCCTTACGTAAAAAACAAAAATACAATAAACGAACGGTATCCCGGATAAATATACCGTAAATGGTTTGGATGGTATCCCTCAACATGTCGTTAAGCTCTTTATTATGACTATTTTTTTATTAGGGCAGGTATTAGATGATTTTTGTTGTACTTTGTAATGGCGGTAAGCATCAACTCGGATTAACTTTTAATACCGTCCCTGTTTGGATGATCTGCAACACATCTAAATCTCATTTCTGGATGCTCAAAAATTCTCACACTAGCGAAACAATATTCGAAAAATCCGAGTGGGGCGACTCTATCTACGATGCAGGAAATATTGTGTTCTGCTGTGGCTAGCTGCGCGTACGCTGTGTAGATATTATAAAGAAGATATATCACGATTTTGAAGATTTTCTACAAAAAGATGATGCGCGATGCAAGTAGATGCGAGAAGTGAAAGAAGATTTTTCGAAGATTTATTCGCTAGTGTGAGATTTTTTGAGCATCTAGAATTGAGATTTAGATGTGTCGCCCCCCTCGGAAAAATCTTCTTTCATTTATCGCATCTATGTACCTACGATGTGTTTGAAACAGTTCTACCGATTTTTACCGCACTCCAGTTGTTATTTGAAGGAGGGTATCCAGTCGTAAGTTTGGAAATTGCAGCTATTGTTACCCCTACCACGGTCCCTTTTTCGCCGGCAATTCGTGTGGGTTGTATCGCATTGAAATAACCTGTATCATACTCGTTTTCCGGTTTTCGCATGAAGTCGATCGATATTGGGAGCCCAACTGAAACGTAGCCCACACTCAAAAAAAAAAAAATTCACGTAGATGCTACGTGGAAACATACGTGGATTTTTTCCATCGTACTTTTCACGTAGCACTTACGTGAATTTCATATAGCAAAGAAAGCTTCCATTTGAACATCTTCCATGGGAGTTTCACGTACAAGCTACGTGATTTGTTGGTATTACCTACGAAATATGTCAATAGCTTTTAAGTGAAATCACGGTATAATTCAAATTGAAAGAATATAAAAAATATATTATTTTTTCATGAGTTTTATTTATTTCTCTGTAGAATTCAATTAATTAATTGAAGGTAAATGATTCAAAATTTGCATTGATTTTCAAATAGTAATTAATGAAGTCATTAAAAACTATGTGAAAACTATGCAAATGTTGAAGCAATTACCCAGTAACAACAATGAATATAAAGAACCTTTTTTATAAATGTTTATTCAAATGACAATGATTACTTTATTACTAACTTAATCTAGCTTCGATTGATCTACATTGAAATCATTTTTAACGCGAAAATAGAACCGATCGACTATTTTGTGAACTGTTACGGGCGAACTATTGAATGATTCTATTTTCAGAATTACCACAATAGGTAAGCATTTTTTTACTTCATATGCTAAAAAGTGTTCGTAATAATTATCAACTTGCCAGTACTGACTTACTATATATAATTCATTATTATGCATAATGAACTCAATTGCTTCGTACAAGTACATTACGTGATTTTCAAACAATGTCATAAAGTATCCAGCTCTATAATGGGTTCCTTTGTACTCTATGGTGCTTGAGAACATCATATTCAAATCCGAATCTATGTTTAGTGGTTGCACAAGCTTACTAAAATAATTGCGAAGGCTTAGATCAAACATTCGGAAATCTCCAATATCAGGTAGCTTGAAAAAAATGCTATTGAATAAGTCGTATGTAAATTGAAGAGACGCTTTTATACAAAGAGTTAAGCACACATTTTTTCGCGAGGGCATTATATGTGCGTACTGTTTAAATGCTCTGTGTTTGGCCTCATATCGGAAACACATCATATCCTCTATTGATCCTGATGCAGCAATTACTGAAGGATAATGGACGATAAAATGGTGCTTCGGCTTGAGATCCTTCTTGAAAAGATCAAGATACATACTATGGTGAATGCCGATTAAACGGCGTAATTCATTAACCAACTCTAATGAAAAAGAGCTTTTTAAGCAAATCTCAGTCAATCTCACCAATATTAAACAATATTTCCAAACCATTTCATCTTGTGGTACGAATTGTCCAATGATTAAAGTGAAATAATGAACCATAATACGGGTTTCACTTGAAGTTAATCTTATCAGTACAGTTTTACGCTTTTCCTTACTATTATAACCTTCTGCAATATCAGGCATTCGACTTAACTCACTGTCTATGCACGTTTTTGCAAGCAATTTTCGATGTTTGTTGAAATCATTCAGCGTGAAGAATTTCTTTGCATAGATACAGTGGTTTAAAACCTCTACTAGACCGTATTTACAAATTCCTGAACTAAACAGATCGTGCATCGCGTCCACACTTAAATTTTCTGTAACATGGAAGGAAGATAGCTCATTAAAAACGGAGTTTCCACTTATGCCTGTTTCACTAGGTTGCCCTACTTCTAAATCCAAATAAAAGTCCTGTCGCCGGCGGAGACAATCAGCATGTTCTTTACAATCTGTTTTTAATAGGTTTTTGGGTCTTTTACAGAAGCGACAGTAGAACGTAGCATTGAATCCGGTTGCAAAAAGCAACAGTGTATGGATACCCAAATTATCACCTTGTATTAAGCATAATACAAATCTGACAAGCACAACTTCTCCGCGTAAAACTCCCTCTTCTTCGATTTGCTTAAACTTATCAACTAGAGCTTTCAGCAGCTTATTAATTCCAACTTCCTTTATGTCAGATTTATACCTGTAACGAAAATGTTGCATAATCTTGATTGAAATTCTTTCGGTATTGTTGGAAATCTGTAGTATATACCACAAATGCTGTGTCTATTACTATGTGAACTTTGAGAGTCGTTAATTTCATACTCATCAGCGTATAACCACACTGGTAGCACGTATTCTTGGTTGTATTTTTGCTTGATAGTGTTCCACGTAGTTCCATTTATGTAGTTAGAAATATTATCCGATTCCTCTAGCTGACTTGTATTTTGTAACGTTTGAGTTAATATTTCATCGCATTCAAAAAACGATTTGATTTGAAATATGATAGGCATGATAATTAAGTAGTTTTTAGGTTGCTCTAACTCTACATGTGTTTCAATATTTATTTGTTTTGATATGACTTTTTGATTTTCTATTGTGATTATTGTTGGTAGTTCAAACCCTAAACTAGTTTTCAAGCACTTAAAAAACTTATGATCTGAGTTTATAAAATGGAAAACGTTTTTGATCTTATCTATATACTTTTGGAAAGCAAATTTTATCTCTGGGTCTGATATTAGAAGGTTGAAATTTTCTATCTCACTGGCTGCTTCTGATAGCATTGAACTTATTTCATTTTGTATATAGTAAACGTCTTTTCTTGTGAAATTGTTATTTTTATGCATTAGCAGAGTTAACTTAATCGCCATCTGATCAAGTTTGTTAATTGAACTTTCGGTCGGTTGGACCAAGTGATCATCACGGTCGGCAGTCCTCCTTATTTTTGATACAGGACAACTGAATTCTGCCGATGATGAACCAGCCAATGGAACATCAGGAAGTATTTCTTCTGGACTCGTTTGTAAGTGATGATCACCTGCGCTTGATGATGGTGTGCTGGGATATCCTGGGTGATGGTTGATGTGTTTTTTGAACGGATAGAGCTTCGAAAATAATTGGTTGCATCCTGCTATCGTGCATCGGTAGTGGTATATAACTGGAACTTGATGAAAATCTTTGAGGTGCATAAGGTATGCTTCCGGCGTCTCGGAAACGTACGTACATCCTTGGATCATACAGCTTATCATTGTGTTTGTTGAGTGTTCTTCATATCCAGGTAATTTTGCAACTTGTTTATGCAAGCATAAGATTCTCGCTGTTTTATTCCATACACATAGCCGCTTATGAAGTGCCAAACGAGTTTTGTGATTTTTGAATAAGGCAGTCCAAATACAGCAGTCAGCTTGATTATAACATCAACAGCTCTCGAAGCAGACGCTAGTTCGTAACACACATCATTGTAAATAACGAAGAAACGCCCTTGCAAATGCTCCAAGCTTTCACCTACTGCAACTAATTTAGGTACAGTAGGTAAATTGCGCTCTGCGTAGCTCCGGTATACGGCTTGTATTTTCGAATGAGCTTGATCTCTGGAGACCGCAAAAAGTAACACATCTTCATGACCTGCCAGAATTGTTGGTTTGAACCTCGAAGCAGCAGAGATCGGAGGCAGAACGGTGTTAAGTGCTTGTAGTAAAGCGCAAAGTTTCGTATCTATGAAAAAAAAGTAGAAGGGTCTGTGCCTAGGGGCACGAACGGAAGCTTGACGTAGGACCGGTAGTGGACGGAACAAATGTGAACATTTAGTTCTTTAAATTGATCAATCATCAATTATCTTAACTCTTTCCGTTTTTTATTTGTAAGCGTATCAAATTTGTAGTATTTATTTCAAAGAGAAAGTTGATGAAGAGAATCCAAGGGACTGTCAACTTGAGTATTTTCGATTTGTTATTGTTATTTTGAATTTTTTGTTATTTATGAATTTTTAAGTTTTGTGCATTTTGTGGTATTAAAGTGTATTCAATTCACCCCTCACAGGCCTTCCGAATTATATGAATGGGGCGGGGCGGAAAGTATCGTTTTTTGCAGAATATGTAAAAAGGAGGGAGATTGCACTCGTGAGAGCTAATTTTCTCACAAATTTGATTTTATTGGCTTTCTGGGGACTGAATATACACCCAAAGCGAATTATTCCCACTTCTCTCAAATTCTATATGGTTTTTTAACACTTCCTACCAGCGTGTTCTGGAAAATGGTCGGACGATGATTAACCAATACATTCGGGCCTACAATTCCACACCTTCTATAAAGACCAGGTTGAGCCTTGATAGCTAGCTGCTTACGGGAACTGATGACCTTGACAAATGTCCAAATAATACTATTAACAAATTTATGGTGGTCCTGAACAGGACCGTTTTGTAGTGATGGTTGATTAATGCTGAGCTGAGCACGACGAGCTACTGATTCCGATCCTAGCCTAGCGGTGAGACTTCTTCTTCCTTCTCTATGGTTGCTTATATGAGCTCTGCAGCTCACTGCTTGCAGGCAGCCTTTCGTTGTTGTTGTTGTTGAAAGCACTCCTGCTGCTGCTGCTGCTGCTGGACTGGACATCACCACTTACGGTGATTGAATGAGCACCGTCCAGTGGGACCGCATCGAATTCGATTTTTAAGTCTGTGTTAGCGAATGCGCTGTTTTCAGACATTCGGTGATAATTTTGATCACCATTGCAGCAGTTGGACATTTGGTATTTTTCAATAGTGACCTATTGAAAATTAACTTAGTGTTCATTTTAGCAGATTGGTAGATAAATTAACAATCGTTTGGCTTGTTTAGAATTAAAATCTATCTGCTATTGGTCGAAACCTAACCTCTTTTCGTAATGCTGCGCATTTTGGTTTTTTGAAATTGCGTGGATTCTATAGATCCTGTGGAGATCTATCTAGCCCTGATGTATGTGTTGGTAGAGGGGAAAATGTAAACTTTGCAGGAGACGATGTCTTAACACTCGAAAGCAATTTTGTGAAATATGAAGCAAAACAAATCAATAAATTATCTCAACATTTAGTGGAAAACCATTCATAATTTTTGGTAACATACAAAAAATTCTTTAATCCACATTAAATTTCATATGTAAGCGCCGATTGAAACAATCTTTTCGACGTCACTACAAGGGTGATTGATTAAACGAAAGAAACGAATCGTGCGGAATGAAAGCCGAGGAAAAACTAATTGCACCAATATATTCAGGCCTACAATTCCACACCTTCTATAGACAGGTTGAGCCTTGATAGCTAGCTGCTTACGGGAACTGATGACCTTGACAAATGTCCACATAATACTATTAACAAATTTATGGTGGTCCTGAACAGGACCGTTTTGTAGTGATGGTTGAGTAATTCTGAGCTGGGTGTTCAACACGGATGAGGTTCTCGAGCTGTATGTTCGTTTGGAGCGAGGGTGACACGCTTGGCATAGATGACCGACCCGCAGCGACTCACGAAGAGCTACTGATTCCGATCCATAGCATAGCGGTGCAGCTTCTTCCTCCTTTGATGGTTGCTTATGTGGGCTCTGCAGCTCGCTGCTTGCAGGCAGCCTTTCGTTGTTACTGGAGAACAATTTCAACGCCACACGCCGAAAGCATTGCTACTGCTGCTACTGCTGCTACTAATTTCGACGACCGAACACCACCACACAGTGGTGTGGTCGTTGGGAGCGTGTGGTTCTGAGTATGGCGTATTACGCAATTCCATCCTCCCTATTCGCACGCGCCCGAGGATCCGAGGCGAATGCCACTTCGACTTGTTTCGTCTACTTACTACTCTCTGACGACTGTGCTGGGGAAGCAGCATATGCATGTAGGTAATTGGTGGATTTGTTAGTTAATTCGACGCTTTTGGGCAATGCTGGACATTTACCAGTTTTCCAATAGTTTCTTGTTGAAAATCAACATTCGGGACATTGTTATCGATGCGTAGCCATATTTCTGATCGATTGGTGATAAAATTATTGAAATTGGACCAGGGGCAGCTGAGTTATTAACGTTCAAAATCTTTCTTAATTTGTTACATGTTCCATTTTCGGTTTTCACTAAGTGTACCCCCATATAGAAATCAAAGACGTAGTCCTACGTCAAAAAAACAAAAATTAATTAATTGGATCAATAATTAAAACTTTCATTGTACCAGTGCTTGCTCCTTCTACAGATAGCTGCTCAAGAAGCGACGCAGCTGATGGATCCATGGCTTTCTTAGAAATAAATTGAGTTATTTCTGGAATTAAATTTTCCAACTTTTTCCATCCATTCACCGCGTTTGGGAATAGCTTTTGAAAATCAATATCAATCTAGAAATTAAAAATTATTTCAGTAAGGTATTTAAAAAAAAATAAAACGTAAAACCTACCAGTTGATAACCATGCTGACTTTTGTAATGTTGGTACGTCGTTAGAACGCGAATACTTTTAGCAGAAAGCAAGTCAGGTTTGCGGACATCATGGCTACGTTTCCATTGCTCAAGGACAACTGCCCAAGGATCACCATTCAACATGAGCCATTCTGCAGCACCTTCGGCTTCTGCATTTATCGCTGTTTCTGTATCGACGATTTTTTGCTTGTTGGTCTGGTACTCGTTTTCCTTAGTTTCACGCTTCCGCTTCCGTTGCTTCAGATTTCCAATTTTATTGGTTATTTTCCCACCGTGGTTTTTGCGATCTCCACTTCTCTGGATGAAATAGTTCTCCTGAAATGTTAAAAAATTTCTTTTATCGTTCAAATATTATTTTAAAGAATTATTTTACCTTCTGCTCGTGTTTAAACAACGAAGTCACGGCTAACGCATATATTTCAAGGTCCTCGGTATGCAGCTTACTCTTAGTGTTCAAATGGTACTTCGCGATTATGCCAGCTAATTCCAATTGCTTAGCTTCAGAAAGCTCTGAGATGTTTGCGTACTTGATGATATCTTTACCTTCTTCGGTGTTTTGGAGTAGTTGCAGTAGTATTCTGGGAGTAAACACGTTAGCAGAAGAACTTTTTGGTGCACTGGCTAGACCGTTCTCGTCCGACAGATTATCGTTCGAGTTTCGAACGTTATGATTTCCGGCCTGCAGGGTGTGTGAATTACTACAGCATGCTACTTCGGTTGAAAGATTAGTGAACGGTAAACGCTGAGCTGAGTCGGAAAGTCGCAAATGATGGCCTGGTTCCAGCAACGGTAGCGTTTCGTTGTCTTGAGAAGTTGAAGCAACGATGATGTAAGTTTGACCGTCAGCTTGTGTTACAATTTCTGCCTCACTATCGTCTTCTAATGAAATATCATCCGGGAGATTTTCTTCCTGCACGGATGACTCATTGACTTTCCGGCTACAGTCGTCCTCTAGATCTTTTGGGTGGTTGTCCGGTTCACTACCGCTTGATTCGAGTTGCAAAAGTTGTTGTTGTGGAACGAGCGTCAGTGCTCCCGAGACATGTGTTGAGATATATTGGCCAACTGCAGAAGTTTCTCCTGAAATTTCTTCCTCTGAAGCCAACACATTCACTTCCGTTGCGGATAACAGATTATCGCAAACTGGAATTCCTTCGCCATCAAGACTTTCGTCGCTGCCTGAACTTCCTTCTGGTTGCTCGTATGACTGGCTGTGTCGTGCTGTTTCGACAGACGGACCAGGGTAATAAATTTGGCCGGTTAGTCGCAAACGCTGTCCCGGGTCAAGCGACATCAACAAATCGATGATTGCAGATTTCTATCAAAAACAAAACTACGTCAGTTCTCAAGCATTTCTTTTTTAATAGCATTTTACTTACGTTTCGTGTGCGCCAGGAGGAAATCAGCTCAATTAATACAGAGTACTTCCAATTTATTTTCGTTGGTTGCAAAAACTCTTTAATCTGGTCGGCAGTTATGGTCAATAAGTCCAAAAACTGAATTCCACACTCTGTAAAATGAAATAATAATAGTTACAGATGTTTATTTATGCAATAAAATCACTATTTACCGTCCAATATCCCCAAGATATGATCAGCAATCTGCAAATCAGCTAAGAGCTTTTGCACTACGTTCTGCACAGTGGCCATGTTTGTTTTTTTTTTATACGTGTAGAACACATAGCATGTACGTGAAAGTCGAGCTGTCAAAATGATGATTTCAATGTACGTGATTTTCACGTAAGGAGTATTGGTCAACAAGGTGATTATGAAAGGTGTTCCAACTAAATTTCAGGAACGGGTATCTAATTTTTACTTGAGTCAGGTGAACTCTCAAAGAAGATTATGATTTCGGATCTACGTGATTTTCCACGTAGCTTTGATGTGAATAATTTTTTGAGTGCACTTAAAAATAGGCCAACAAGCGAAATCCGACTGTATCTGCACGGTGTTTTGTGAAAACCCATTAATGGGTAAAAAATACCATGTATGTAGCTGTCAAAAATGAGTTAAAAATACCCATATAAAGAATCAGTTCACGGTTGCATAATTGGTTTATTTTTTACCCACTAATGTGTGAAAAAACACTTCGAAATTTTATCGTCTATTGGGAATGCAAACCGTTACTGCCCGCAGCTTCTTTTTTTTTTTAGCGAAAATGGACGACCTCCGGAAATGATTAGAATCCGAAACGTTGGAGAGGCTTACGGATAAGTCAATACAATTTTATCCAATATGGTATTATAATATTTCGTGTAATAAAATTTGATCGGAACACCTGCATAAAAACCGAGGGGGGCGACTCTATCTACGATGCAGAAAAGATTGTGTTTTGCTGTGGCTAGCGTACGCACGCTGAGTGGATAGAAGGAAGATTTATGTCGATTTTGAAGATTTCCTGCAAAAAGATGAAGCACGATGCAAGTAGATGCGAGAAATGAAAGATGATTTTTCGAAGATTGATTCGCTAGTGTGAGATTTTTTGAGCATCTAGAATTGAGATTTAGATGTGTCGCCCCCTTATTGACAGACCTCCATTTACCCATTAATTTACCAATTAAATGAGGAAGGGAACTTTTAGCTGAAATGGATAATTTTATACACGCTAACTTGAAAGTACTCATTAATGAGTAAAAAAAGACCCATTTTGAAGAAAAGTGGCTTAACTCATTAATGATTAAACAATTTTACCCATTAATGAGTATCTGTTACCCATTAATGATTAACAATTACTCATGAATGGGTAACAGATACTCATTAATGGGTAAAAAATTTACTCATTTAATGAGTTAAGCCACTTTTTTCGTCAAAATGGGTCTTTTCAACCATTAATGGGTACTTTCAAGTTAGCGTGTACCCACCAATGGGTTTTCGCGAAACACCGTGTGTGTCGGAGACGAAACTGGTGAAGACAGTTTTCGTTACTCCTGTTACGTAGGACTATACTTCTGTGTTTTAAGTATGGGGGTGGCCCTAATGCCGGTTTAATATTTCAAATTAAAGCTTTGAATTGAAATTTAAAATTTTTCAACTGTTAACAACATCACTTAACTAGCAACTGTACGGACAAGTGGATATTAAATATTTACACTACAACAATTTTCGATTTAAGAACCGCTCTCTAACTACGCCTATTAGATTGAGTAATTGTTTTTCATTAATTCATCTGAATATACCAAATCGAAAAGATAAGAAACTATGACATTATTTAAGTTTGGAATCTGACTTATTGTTCACAGTTCGAAAAAGTAGTGTAAATTTCTGTTCAATTAACCACTTCATTCGAGCAGATAAAATGACGTTTACTACCACTCGAACTTTGAAATGAAACATTATTTTGAGATTTTTTCTTCTAGAACCTCGAGAAAAGTAGCCAACACTTGTGCGTTTCATAAAAAATAGAAATTAGTTGGTCCAGTTTTGTGAAATCGCTGGTAGAAAGTCACGCCAAAACTGCTTGACAAAGTGGTTAATTTAAAAATAAAAATTCTGAAATTTGATTGTGATGTAAACATGGCATTTACGAAATAGAAATATATTTGCTACAATTCGTCATCGTATCCTACTAGACATAGAATTAAGTGAATTTTGTTACAAACAAAGAACAATGAACTATCGACTCCGTAAAGCTAACGCGATTGATTGAACGAACTAGTTAAAAAAGTCATCGTACGAATTATGCCAAATTTGGACCCTTGAACCAAATGATGGACACATATAATAAGCACTGCGATAACATTGACTTTACAATGACAAAAACCAAATTAAAGCAATATTTTAATTCCTCGCATAACGTCAGTTAGAAGTATTTTTTTTTGTTTAAACTTGTTCTCACGACATATTATAAAAATAATAACGAAGACAAAATTGTCTACACTGATTGACTACAAGTAAATAAATAAATATATAAAAATGTTGCAAAAAATCACCATCCCTCCCAAGTAACAATCCAGTAACCGTTTAGCATCCACTCTAATTTATGATGGTTTTATAACGGCAATGAACAATCCATTTAGTTTAAATATAGCATTTTGAGGTGTAAAACATTCCTGCTTGGTAATTCAGCTTTTTGCTGTTTTAAAAACCTTTTATAGTCTGGCAAGAAAGTCGAAAACTGTCTTGTTTTAAAAATAAATTTAAAACAGTTATCAATCCCTCCTTTAAACTGTTCTGTAATTCAAGCATAAACGTCATTAGCAATTGTTTATTAATGTCATGATAAAATACTTTATAAACGTGTTCTATCATTATAAAAGTAACCATAAAACAAATAGGTTTTGCATTAGAGAAAAAAGCATTTATTGTTGCTTTTTAGCCTTTTTAAAAAGTATCATTAACTCCCCAAATACTTTGTTTACAAATTGAGCTTAAAAGATGGTTCCTTATAGTTAATAAATGCCAAATTTATGACAAGGAAATCTCGAAGGATAGACGAAGTAGGATGAAAGAATAAAGTCAATTTCAATTTTTCAATATATTTGCTACAAATCGTCATCGTATCCTACGCGACATAGAATTAAGTGAATTTTGTTACAAACAAAGAACAATGAACTATCGGCTCCGTAAAGCTAACGCGATTGATTGAACGAACTAGTTAAAAAAGTCATCGTACGAATTATGCCAAATTTAGACCCTTGAACCAAATGATGGACACATATAATAAGCACTGCGATAACATTGACTTTACAATGACAAAAACCAAATTAAAGCAATATTTTAATTCCTCGCATAACGTCAGTTAGAAGTATTTTTTTTTGTTTAAACTTGTTCTCAAGACATATTATAAAAATAATAACAAAGACAAAATTGTAGCACTTAAGACAACAATTGTAAAACGGTCTACACTGATTGACTACAAATAAATAAATAAATATATAAAAATGTTGCAAAAAATCACCATCCCTGCAACCCTCGTCGGATACTTTTACTCAAAACTCTTTACAGGATTTTTTTTAAATATTCTTAAGCATTTCTTTTGTTGTCATTTCTTTTTATAAATTTTATTTCAGAATTATCCCCTCCCTTCAAAAATCCGCCCTCTAAAATAAATTTTAATAATTTAGTCCACTAAATTTACTTTACAAAACATTTGCAATTTCCAAAATCCGTTGAACCTTCGCTGAAATATGACAATTTAAACTTGTGTGTAAGCATGTGCGTTTTTTTATATTTTTATTTTTTTTTATAGTAAAGTTTAGGAAAGCTTCAAGAAGCCTGGCCTGTAGTGAAGTTGGCACGGTGTGGTATCCACTAGTTGCCTAGTGCAGCTCCACTAAACCCCATTCCTTACTCTCACCTCTGCCTGGATCCCCCGGGACCACTGTGAAGCGACTACTTCAGGGGGTGGCTGTGCTCTTTCAATGACTGAATGTTGATTAACAAGCAACGGGCTTCATAAGATGGGAGAGGAAATTCTGTCCATCCCAATTTACGTAGTGCATATAATAAAAATTGCCTTTGGATTGACTCTATTCGTTCTTCATGCCTTTTCATATAAGGTGACCAAACAACACTGAAATATTCTAATATTGGCCTCACATAGGCAACATATAGTGTAAGGATCTTCAAAGTGTAAACCAAAACGCTTTATAAAATTAAGCACATTGCCTGCTCTATGAATAATTGTGTTATAATGATCCACAAATGTTAGTTTAGAATCTAGAATAACTCTTAAATCTCTTATTTTATCACAACTTTGAACAATTTGATTACCAAATGTAATACGAATATCTGGCTTTATTAGTTTTCTACTGTAAGTTATAAGATTACATTTTTTAACATTTAGTTCCAACACACTTTTACAACACCACGTATAAAAAACATGAACTTC